AAGATGCAGCATAACTCATGCAAACACTAAGGTTACCCAGGGAACTGCGATTCTTGCATTTCCTAACTTCTGAGGGCTTGATTCCACAACTGTTACATCCTATTAATGTCTGTATCGGCATGGAATTTCCTGGATTTGCCCTCCTTCCCTCTAAAAACCTAATGGGGAAAACTCACCAGCTTCCCTCTTGTGGTGTCATCTTGAAATATTCATGGAGAGCTTTAGTAGTCTTGAAACCTCCAGAGGCTTTTAAAAGATACCTGTCATTACAGCTACCATAAAACAAAGCAACTAAGCAACTCCAACAGAAAGAAACCTACTAATCCTACTTATATTTTAGTTCTACATGTGAAGCTAAAGTGCGCTGTGTGGGAATAGATGTGAAGTGTTTCCTGAAAGCATTACAAGAGACTTCTGAACAGCAGAAGTGTGTGACATGCTACTCGAGCTGTAGGTAGAGAGTGGAGGGTGCCTTTCCTCAGCGCTGTTACCTGTTCTGCTGCTCTGTTGAGGCAACAGGGGTAATGCATTAAATAAGAAGGGGGGAGGCAAATTCACATAACAAACGAAACAGGAAATGGAAAGTCTTCAGATTATCTACAAACCTTCAGCAACCAGAATCATGGTAGCAAATTACAATCAAGACGTGCCACGCTACATTTCCTGGGGTGCTTTATGTGTTAATTTAACACAAATCTAGCCATCAGCCTCAACAACACGTCACGCTTGCTTTCAAAGCCTGGCTAAGAACATGTCCTAATTCTGTTATTTTTCCCCAGTACTGGAATTAATTTACTTTTAAGTTCAGCTGAACCAGATGATGAATTTTAACAAGCCAGTGTTCCCCCCAAGCAAAAGGCAGAGCTCATAAACCCGCATTTATCCAGTGATCAGTTTCTGCTTCTCCATGGTGAATAATTTCAAAGACAAACCGTGAAGCAGTAGCTCTGTGTCAGCTCTACGCAGCAGCAGCAGAGGGCAGCCCAAGAAAGGAAGGCCCGTCCCATGCGCCACCATGATCTCCACAAGATCACTGCCCCTTGCCTCAAACTCACATGCTGCCTCACCATTTGGGTTATAGGTAAAGAAGTCCTTGTTGATAATTCCATGACCCAAATGGAGTCTTCTCCAGAGTTCTGCCTCTTGTCTTCCCCACTGGCACTCCCCAGCCTGCAGCACAATGTTTATCCATTTGCTCAGTGTGTATCCCATTTGCCCCAGCACATCCAGCTGCCAATGCATCCATCACTGCCAATAGCAAGGGTAAGGGACAAGGATCTCAGAAGGTTCTTTAAGGCTACCTCAAGGTCTAGATTGCTCTTGGTTTACCCCACAAAATGGTGAATGGTCCAGGGGAGAGGAGAACAAAAGTCACCTCACCAGGCCTTCCCCTTATGTCCTCAGAAGAGAAACAAGAATGCCAAGTAGCCTTTCCTTCCTTCATCACCTTCTTCCCTTTCTGTGCCATGAAGCACAGACTGAACTGAAGGCATAGGAAGCATTTAGGACTGAACGCACTGCTGAGCACTCCCTGCCAGACTACTAGGATTCATCATCTGCTATCTTACGTCACTATCTCTCACACTTCAAAACCTGCTGGAAGTTCTTTGTCCCTCTGCACTCTGCTAACAATCTGCCTTTCTCCACTGCTTGGGAGCCAACAGGACCCAACACTCCACACCCAGAGAGAAAGAAGCTCCCACTGTTTTCTGCTAAAGGAGTTATTCCTTCAATTTAAATAGCAATAGCTATGGTTTTGGCTTGGGGTTCAAACCCTGATCACAATACAGAAGGAAGAAGGAGCTTATCCTTCTCTCCACAGGAGCTATGACCTCCACTGGGCTGCAGAACTCCTGGAAAAACAGCCCAAATCCTTGTGCCAGACCTAGATGGAATCTGCAGACAGAAGAGAGCACACAGTCCAAGAAAGCAGGTGTAAGAACACCAAGCAATCACCTCAGCCAGAGCCCTGCTGACTCTGTCACCCTGGTGACAGAGAAACTGTGGAGGCACTCCTCTGGCAGATGCTGCATGAGCAGAGACAACACAGATGACTGAGGTGTGTGTGCGCTGGAGGGGGCAACTGTAAACAGTGTAAGGGTTAAGAAAGTAAGGGTTAAGGAATAAAAGGAGAAAGGGAGCCTCTAGGAGCTGTTATGCTTGAAGAGATCAGAGAGAGCTCAAAGGACAAGTGCTACAAATCTCTCGTACCTTGTTTTTAAGCAATATCCGGTCACTGTGTATTTGGGCTCTGCCTGGATATGCTGTTCACTCACCAACAGGCACTCTGTCTCCATTGATCCCAGTCAAGTTTATAATCGGAGGGGTTATAGTCATATAATGAAGCGAGCTTCCCCATGCTGAGCAGAAGCCTTTTTAGCACTTAGTGAAGGGGAATTCATCACACCAACTGCTTGGAACAGCCACTGCACTGTCCTCCCTGAATCCTTTTGTGCTTCTCAGTCAGGCCTCCTTTGAACTTGTTAACTGGGAAAACCTGACTTCTAATTGACAAAATACTAAAAACATTTCACTGCAAAACTTAACGCTTTAAACCTGAAATTAACAGGAGGAGCTCTTCCAAATTCCAATGTGAGTAGTGAAAAGTCTAACCATCCAATTGTGCACGGATAATTTGCAATCAGCATGGGATTTGACTGCTGTGTTAGACTGGCTGCATAGTGCCCAGCCCCACTCTGCCCTTCCCGAATTAGTGCACTAATTAATACAAGATGCATACAGCACAGTAATTAATACACTATATAGTATAGTGCAATAATTAATACATTGCATATATTAGTGCAATAATTAATACATTTAGTGCACTAAATAATACATGACAACAGTACACCAAGCTGAGTTCAGCAGTAGTATCTAGTTTCCTCTGCCTTGTGCACACAGCAAACATGCCATAATCATGCCAAACACTGGTGTTACTCACTGCATAACCTCATCTCGCTGCCTCTTCTGAGAAACCAAGATGAGAACAGACCAGTAAGCATGGCTATGAAGTTTTCCTTTTTAGTATACAAAATCTATAACAGTCCTTTTCCATATTTAATCTTCAAGAATATAGAAAATAGTAAAACTTAGACATAATTTAGACATGTTATTTTTTAAACTCCAATTAAGGGGAAATAATCCTGAACAGATTTAATATTAACCAATAAACAAAATACAATGTTAATCCAAAAAAGGGTGGCAAAACAATTTGGAAACTCCTTGAACCTGTTGAAGTCAAAAATAGAGAAAGGTGAATATGCAAAATCTTTAGCACCTCCATATGTGTGCTCTGCATTCTTTTCCTTCTAGCACCTTGATAGGTCTGAAAGATTTCCTTCAAATATCTGTCTCTTCCAACAATCTAACACATAACCTGGTTATTCACTGTTCTTGTTTTTGCATTCTCTGTTGTACTGTTGCCACCTTGCTTCCTGATGAAGAATAAGACCAAGGACTAAATGCCAAAGTGAAGTATGGCTTCATGAGAGTGACAGTGATCTTATCTACACCCACTACACTGCAGAAGTTTTATTTCCAGAGGAGTTACCTGTAAGTAACCTCTACTGACCTCTTCTAGATTGTGGGCATGCTCATGATGGCTGCAAATCAGAAGCAAATTGAGGGATCTAAAAAAATTACAGATTACTGTATTAAATATGTTATTATTTCAGATTTCAGTTTTAAATAAAGAGGCTGAAAGTGGAGCTCTCAGCAGCCAACAGCCCTACTGTGCTAAGTGTATGTCTACACTATCTGCCTGTAACCAGCTTCTGAGAATACACAAATAACCACAGCTTGTTAGATATAAGTTGGCTGCCTAAACTGTGCTGATTTCTTGGGTCTTATTATTTCTATCAAAGCTCAACAGATGTACCTGTGAAGAAGGAGCAAAATGTAGTAGGTCTTGCAAGGGCAGAAAAACTGGATGAAGAAACCCCAAAAAAAGCACGTTTCATTATTTTAACCTGAGATACCCAGAGGGTAAGTTTCCAAGTGGTAGTAAATTTAAAATTCGACAGCAAATACAGTCTTCACGTGAGATGAACTCTGCACGAGACTACTGCCTTGACAAATGGACCCAAATACATCCCTGCTCTGACGCCCACCATCTGATCTGCTTCTTTTCCCTCTGCTTGCTACCCTTATTCTGCACTTTCATGCAGTAAGATACGACATTAGTGCTCTCTTATACATATCGCTGCTGATTAAGTGATAGTTTCAACAGCAGTCCAGGTTATATGTTGCTAACACAGACTTTGCCCTAAAATGACATAGTGGAAAATGTCCAAACTCCTTGAAACACTGAGCATTAACAAAGGAATAGTTACAGTAAGATCCTGCTGAGGTAATACTGCAGTCATAACTGTAGGAATGTTTCGGCACTGTATTTCCAGCTAATAAATTAGGATCTGATACAGTTGTCAAAATGATTTATCAGAAAGCTCACGAAAGACTAGCTAAAACACTGGCCAACAGGATCTATGTTCCAAAATATGTTTCCCATGAAAACTGTGAAACCTCAACCCCACCCTCTATGCTGCTGAGTTAGTTGTTTGTCTTTTCCTTGTTCTGACACGGGTGATACCCGCTGGTAAAGCTGCCACACTCTGACTGCTGCATTGCAGTTATTACTGCTGTCTACCACCTCCCTGCATTACAGAAGATCCTATCAGGCTGTAATAATCAAACAGTTCTCTGTTATCAACAGTTATTTTATTGTTGTCAAAAGCTACAGAAAATATTGGGTAGCCAAACGCATAAACACATGAAAGCATCAGTAAGTGTAAACCTAGGTCAAAACCTCCCCTCCTCAGGCAGTGGGATGTGCAGTGTTTTCCTGTGCACCTTTCAGCTGCCCTCTTACCTCCACTGTGATTGCCTTCAGTACTGCTGTCTGTTGTAAAAGCTAGTTAGAGGAAGTTTTGAATTGTTTCCACATAGAGGTGAGATACTAGTGTTTGTATTTTCTTAGTCTGCACGAGAATAACAAAATTTACCTTGTCATAATAGTATCTGAGCGCCCGGCTCAGCTTGTCATAATTCATATTAGTTTTGTTTTTTCTGAGTCCCCACAGCTTAGCCACTTCTTCTGCCTTGAGTAGCTTGAACTCGCCATCATTAGATGTCCAGCAAATCAGGTGCTCATGTTTCTGGTCTAGCAGCAACTGCAAAAGGAACTGCCACAGTGTGATTGCACTCTCCATACCTACAAGGGACAAAGGAGAGCAACAGTGTGAAAAACATTCAGAAGCAGGCGGTCCACTCAATGCTTTTTTCAGTAACAAGTTCTGTGTAGAACTTGCAGAATCATCCTACATAACTGAGCAAAGGAAGCCGCTGTATCATTTACAACCAAACATCCACCAGACCTACAGGTCTCGCACTGCCGTTTCAGTATTTTTTTCCACAGCTATTTTCTGAAGGGATACATAAAACAGTAAGTAGTTAGAAAAGCACTGCCCACATAGTTCATACGGTACAGTCATCTCCAGTTAGTATCTTCAATTCAGTGTATGCAACCACTCTTCAAAGGAACATACGGGGGAGGTGAGGTGAAGGGAGAGAAGAAAGTACTTGATGTAACTATCTGGTGAAATGAGCCGGAAAAACTGCTATTTACTGTCATGAGGAGCATACTGAACTCTTTCAGGTATGTCACTGTGTAGAAGGGGAGGAAAAGGAAAGACCAGAGCAGTTGCCTTTGGTTAGAGGACCAGAAACCAAACTCTTTCCTCCTCACCACAGGCACCTGCCTTGCTGGTATCATATGGCCTTTGCCTATTTTGTTTCTTCCAGGGTCTGAAATGCCTCTTTCCTGCTTCTGTTTGCCATTTCAAGTAGCTCAGAAGATGTTATCTACGTTGCAGAAATGCTGAAAGTTCAGTACACTTAAGCACAGAAAAGTAAGTGTTGTTTACCCTGAACCTTTCTCTAACAAGGATTTCTCGTTATCATACGTATGATTGAGAACTAGGAATATTTTTAACAGTGCCTGAGTCTAACTTCTAAGGGTGATTGAATATATTTTTTGTCTCTGCTAAAGGGTGCTTGAATACTTTTGTCTCTGCTAACTGGCTGTGCTACTGAACCCTCCCTAAATAAACCTCTTTTTCAGGCACTGCATTCAAAATAATTAGACAAACTTAAGAGTTAGTATATTTCAATTCAGCACAAGACATAATACACACAAAACTTGGGAGCATTACCACTGAAGACAGTTTATTAATGAAATGAAGATGCAGCTAAAAATGAGGTTGCCCCCCACTTTCAAAAACATTCCAAGTCTCAGTATGTTACCACTGTATCAAACAATGTTTTTCCTGGCCTCTTCTGATAGTTAATTAGGACATGTTATGTGTAACTAATGCAGGTTTAAAGATGCCAGTATTACTGAGTTACCTGACTATGATGTTAATGGTGTTATTTGACTTATCTTTGTACGTGTAACAATGGATATTTTTGTCTTTAAACAAGCTTATGTTTTTTAACTTCCTTGATCCTTAATATTTTACTGTTTGCTTCCTAGCAGATAACAGGGCCATAACATGCCAGATTTACTGCCTGACGCTTTCCTTGGCGTGTTGACCACAAGAGGGCACAAAACTTCCGTCTTCCGCAGGGAACAGTACAGCAGGCAGCTGAAGGAAAATTGGCCTCTTCAAGTTCACTAGCAATAAGGAAATCATGCTGCATAAACTCCACTAGTATAAAGGAAAATAAATCGCAGAAGATAGTGTAAAAGCAACTAAAAGACACTAGAGAATGTCGTCAATAGTGTTACAGAAAAGCACAATTTGGAGCTCTATTTTGGTCCAAATAATTTCAACAGTGGCCAAACAAGGGTTTGCAGAATTAATGATGGTTTTCTTGTCCCGGCAGAAGCCTCATTTCTTTAACCGAGAATCCAGTCTGAATGACAAGGACAAAAGTACCTATCCCTGACACCCAGTTGTGTAAAACAGGAACTATGCAGCACCTTCAAGAGAGGGTAGAGGCTCCGAGCACTGGTAGGTATCCCTGAAACAGAACCGCCTATATAAACGATCTGGTGCTTTCAAAAGTTTACATTTGCTTCATTGCATGTTTTATTACTTTATACAAATTCTTTTCCACTTACTGCAAGGCAAGAAAAAAATCTATAGCTAGAATTAAATAAATTAAATATATCTGAAAGTTATACACTTGCTTTACAGTCTTTAAAAAGTTCCTTTAAACTACACCAACTGTGCAAGTATTAACATCTTTAATGGATTATTCATCTATATAATAGCTAATAAAGCATCCCTATTAAAGTGGCAACATATATACACACTTTTTAATTAATATTCATAAATTTTGCAATTTCACTAAACATGTGTAGGTATATACAGTCATACTCTTTAAAATAATCTTAGTTTCCATTCATCACATACAGCAATACTCTGCATACTTTCAGCTTGTATCATACAACTCTTCCAAACAAAAAATCACAAACAGAACTTTTTTTGCTCTGGAAAATTAGAAGCAACTTCTAAATATCTTCCTTTAAAATTGTCTTACAATGTGTACAGGTGTCCCACACTACAAAAGACCTGTCAGTAGAACTTCAGCTGAAGAAATTAAAGGTGGAAGAGAGCCATAGAAGTACTAATATAAAGTTTACCACCATGACATTAGCCAAAGCAGTACAACACTTCAGAGATGCAATTCTATCAGACCTTAAATTACATTCTCCTTCAGAGCAATAATGCCTCTTCCCAGAGTTCAGCTGCAACGGAACTCACAGTGAAGTGCATTTTGCTGCAGTCTCCTCCACTCCCATTCACCTCTGCCCAAGAACACTCACAGGGTAACCTACAGCTAACATTGTACTACATTTTCTACTACGAACCTGTTTTCTGATGCTTATCATTTGTAAAATGTAAACAGTTTTGGATTCCATTTTTACCTACTGGGTCTCACGGTGACTCAGCCATAGGCATAACGCAAAATGCATGAACAGTACAAGCCTGGGTGAGAACAACCTATAGGAGTACCCATTCCATACTGTATGCCCCAGTGACTAAGGAGAGGTGACTTCCATCAAGTTATTACACAAAAGATTACTGCCACCTTTTTCAAAGTGGTTCAAATATAATTTAACCAAAAATGTGGTACCTGTATTAAAAGTTATTATGAATTATGAGTGGGAGGAGTCACAAATCTTCAGAAAAGGTTGTACTGCATCTATGCCTTTTCTAATTCTTTTGAATTTTTACTGACTCAAAGGGAATTCAGTGTCTTGCCTTGATTTAACAGAATTGGATGTTAGGATATGGTCACTTCCTACCAGGCATATATTTCACATTTCATTCAACTCTTTGTTAATATTAAATAGAAATAATAAATATTCCCATCACTTCTGTGCTCAATAGAGGATCTGAATGCTGGACAATAAATTATACATGGAGCCACATACTAAATTACATGGATTAGACAAAAAAATCACTTATTTAGATAATGACATCCATCTATGTTACAGAATGAGACAGGCAACCTATGTAAGAAACATGCATTCTGTGTCATGGAAAGTGTGAGAGACTGATCTGAAATCAGACTTCACTGTCCATTGTCTCAAGGATTGGTATGAGAAGCTGAGATGGAATTCCACCTATCTTTTTTCTCAGAGATGGGTGGGAGGAGTTACGACTCCAATGTCCATTGCCTGGGAGAAGGGTATGAGGAGCTGAACTGGTACTCCACCATCCATTGCCTGAGGGATGAGTAGGAAAGAGCTAAGGCTCTTCCATCCATTACTTCGAGGATTGGTGTGAGGAATTGCTATCCATTATCCCAAGAACTGCTGCAAGACCAGGGAAACTGGTCCATCAGGACCATGTAATACATGACATGAAGAACAGAGGTACTCCCTCCAACTCATTATAAAAGGGGGAAAAAGTAATCACAAGAAGGAGCCACTGCCATGAGGATGACTCCAGAAGGACACTCCATGAGGACATTCTCACCGATGACCACTACGGACCCTGATGGACACCCTCCACAGACATTGCCGTAAGGACAACTCCCTAAGACACAGTCCACAGTGTACCTTCAAGGGGACAACTCCAGAAGGACACCTTCATGAGGACACCCACCTCCAACGACTACTATGGACCTTTAGGGGACACTCTGCTCCGATACCAACTACAAACACTGGAGAACTCTCACCACCAAAACCAACAGATCCTCAGGACACCACTGGATCCACGGTGGTGACTCCCTCTCTGCACCCTGAATTCTTGCTTTATTTTCTGCCTTTTTTCCAATCTGTCCTATTATTATCCCTTTTATTACAATAGTTTCCCTTTTTTATAATAACTGTCTTTTCATAATAAACCAATTGATCAATTATGGTACTTGACCTTGTTTGCGTCTTAATTCCACTTGTGGGATAACGAACATAACAGGGTCCAACACTGGGGTTTTCTCCAATTGGACCCTGACAGAAAGCCTAGTCAAAATTTCATATACACAAAAAAGGCCATTAATTTTTTCATCCCTTAACCTTAACACATGTGGTTTTCTCATCATACCATTCTTTAAACATTTACACAATGCATTTGAGAGTCAAAGATATCTTCTAAGCCATGAAATAGAAATAGCTAGGTTGACCTGACCTAAATAGCCTAGTAATTTTACTTTGTGATCAGTTCCACTACCACTGATACAAATTATCACCAGCATAGCTAGAAGGAATTATACTTGGAAACGCTATGTTAGACAGCAAAAGGATGTTTCAGAACCAAGTTTTCTGAAAGTCCATTTCTCAGGCAGCTGTGACAAGTAACTACACTAACACCCTCTGTGTTACCCATTTACACTCCCTTCAAAAGCACGTCCCCCCCATACAAAGCCTACCAACTGCATGGTCAGTGTGGTACAATGTGATCTCCACACATCACATTTTAAGTTCAGAACTGATGTGGGAAGGACACAACACAGAGTATCTGTGCTGATAATACTGCCCCTATTCATTTCAACCAAATCAAGGGACTACCGGAAATGCCTGACCTCGGAGCAGCAAAGTCAACACTGTAAACTCTCCCAGAAGAGAATAAGAGAAAAGGACAGACACATCCACACGCAAAGCATCCCATTTAAGAGGTTATTTTCCTGTAAATTCCTGGAATTTTGAGGTGCCCAAATTCCTCACTTAGATGAGAGGCCCACAGGCCAAACACTGGCTTT